AGGGCTGCGTGGTATAGACATTTATGTTACCATGTGCCAGCACTGTTTCGACCTTTACCCACATTATCCCATTTAATCCACAAGATGAAGCACTTCCTAAAAAACTCCGTTGCTCCAGCAAGTCCACTTCTGGTCATAGACACACAAAAAATGAGAGCAGGGTCTCCAAGAGATATTTGCACACCCATGTTCATAGCAGCATTTTACAACAGCCAAGAGATGGAAACAACCCAAGTGTTCCTGGACAGATGATGGATAAGTAAAATATGCTATATACAGTCAAAGGAGTATTATCCGACCTTAAAAGGAAAGACATTCTGACACATGGTGCACCATAGATGAACTTCGAAGACATTGCTACGGCTCAATGAAATAAACCAGTCACAAAAAGACAAATACGTGATTCTGCGTACACGAGGTACCTAATACAGTCAAGTCAGGCCCAGCCACCAGATGGCAGGCATGTACTTAGAGAGGGTCAGAGTGTTCGCAGAAAGGCTCTTGCCCGGGTGGGGGAGGGGAAAGGAGCCTTGTTGTCTAATGGGTGCAGGGTTTCAGTTTTGCAAGACAAGAGGTAAAGAGTTCTGGAGATGAGTGGTGGTGATGTTTGCACAACAACATGAATGTCCTTAGTACTGCTGAACTCTACACGTAAAAAGAGATGGTAAATTTTATGTTGTATGTATTTCACCACAATTTTTGTTAAAAAATAAAAAAATAAAAGAAACTCCTCTGATCTGAAGAGAAGAGATAATGAAGAGCTTGTACGATTTTTTTTTTAAACCACAGCAGCTGAGTTAGAACAAAATCCTCAAAGTCACACTCACAGGTTTCCTGTAAGTGAATGAGAAGAAAAGACCTGGAGGTCTTTAAGCGTGTACTTGAGAGACCTGATCTAATTTCAGTGTTTAAAAGATTATTCTTGCTGCTGGGTGGAAAACAAATGGAGGAGAAATGAGGATAGATGCAGGGAGGCTGTTCAAAAGATGTCTGCCTTAATCTAGGTCACTTTGCTCAAAATGCGAGTTGCAGCCTATTCACGGGTGGTGAAATCAATCCAATGGTTGCGAACCACATCTAAAAGTGAAATAGCTG